CGGCTTTTTGGGGGCCGCGGGGAGGCCAAATCCAGTCGTGCTAGCCGCTGCTACCGCTTCGCGGTCGGCCATCTGGGGACCCATCCGTGCCCGCCCCAAAAGTCACTCCGGCGAAAGGTCACTCTTACGTCTAGTCGAACACAACGACCTTGCGCGGTGGCTTCCGCAGGCCGCCGACGCGGCACGCCACACTGGAGGCGAGGGGCGCTTCCGCGGGACCGAACGCGGGCAGATTGCGCGCCAGTGTCGGCGCAGAGACGGCCCCGTTGTTCTCCACTACCCGTGCCTCTGTCGCCTTCGTGCGTTCTTTTTGTTGTTGTTGTTTTTTTTCTTTCCTCTCGCACGATGATCCAAGATGCCTCCTCGATGGCCCCCTTGTTCTCCACTTCCCGTGCCTCTGTCGACTTCGTGCGTGTCTGTTTTCCTCTCGCACGATGATCCAGGATGCCTCCTCGATGGTCCCCGCCGAGGACGATGGCACACCCCCGAGCGATGCCAAGCAACTCGGCAACTGGTCGCAGTGAAATTGTGTTGCATGTTCGGGGGGCCTTGTCTGTCCCGTCGCGCCGCGATCCGCGTCGAATCCGTGTCGAATCCGGGTCGAGTCTGTGCCGAGTCCGTGTGGCATCCGAGTCGAATCCGTGTGAATCCACGCCGAACTCCGTTCATATCCGCGTCGAATCACAAAGGAGTACAAAAAAGGACAGCCATTTACAGTACAGGGTAGGCCCCCCGCAGATGCAAAATTATCCTGGCGAAGGACCCAACCATATGCAATTGTGAATACTGCAATTGTGAATATCTTCTCGGTGGAAGCCCCTACGGGGCCACGAAACGTACGAGGGGTGTGCCGAAATGGGTGTGCGGGACGCATGCGGGCACACCCACTGGGGCCTTCGGTGGAGCTCCCTATGGGGCCACGAAACGTGTGAGGGGTGTGCCGACATGGGTGTGCGGGACGCATGCGGGCACACCCACTGGGACCTTCGGCGGAGCTCCCTATGGGGCCACGGAACGCGTGAGGGGCGTGCCGAAATGGGTGTGGCTGACGCATGCGGGCGCGGGCACTGGGGCCTTCGGCGGAGCTCCCTATGGGGCCACGAAACGTGTGAGGGGTGTGCCGAAATGGGTGTGGGTGACGCATGCGGGCGCGGGCACTGGGGCCTTCGGTGGAGCTCCCTATGGAGCCACGAAACGTGTGAGGGGTGGGCCGAAATGGGCGTGGCTGACGCATGCGGGCGCGGGCACTGGGGCCTTCGGTGGAGCTCCCTATGGAGCCACGGAACGCGTGAGGGGTGTGCCGAAATGGGTGTGGGTGACGCATGCGGGCGCGGGCACTGGGGCCTTCGGTGGAGCTCCCTATGGGGCCACGAAACGTGTGAGGGGTGTGCCGAAATGGGTGTGGGGACGCATGCGGGCGGCAGCACTGGGCCTTCGGTGGAGCTCCCTATGGGGCCACGAAACGTGTGAGGGGTGTGCCGAATTGTGTGTGCGTGACGCATGCGGGCGGCAGCACTGGGGCCTTCGGTGGGGCTCCCTATGGGGCCACGAAACGTGTGAGAGGTGTGCCGAATGGGGTGTGGGTGGCGCATGCGGGCGGCAGCACTGGGGCCTTCGGTGGAGCTCCCTATGGGGCCACGAAACGTGTGAAGGGTGTGCCGAATTGGGTGTGCGTGCCGCAAATAGAATGCGGGCGCGGGCACTGGGGCTTCGTGGAGCCCCTATGGAGCCACGAAGCTGTGAGGGGTGGTGCCGAATGGGTGTGCGTGACCGCCAATTGGTCGGCGCGGGCACTGGGGCCTTCGGCGGAGCTCCCTATGGAGCCACTAAGCGTGTGAGGGGTGTGGCCGATTGGTTGTGCGTGACGCATGCGGGCGCAGGGCACAGGTTGTGCCTTCGGTGAGCTCCCTTATAATGAGCCACGAAACGTTGTGAGGGGTTGTGCCGAAATTTGGGGTGTGCGTGACGCATTGCCGGGCGCGGCACTGGGGCCTTCGGCGGAGTCCCTATGGTCCACGAAACGTGTGAGTGTGTGGCCGAATTGGTGTGCGTGACGCAAGACGCGGGCGCGAGGCTCACTGGCGCCTTCGGTGGAGCTCCCTATGCAGCCACGAAACGTGTGAGGTGTGTGCCGAAATGGGTGTGGGTGACGCATGCGGGCGCTGGCACTGGGGCCTTCGGTGGAGCTCCCTATGGGGCCACGAAAGCGTGTGAGGGGTGTGCCGAAATGGGTGTGGTGACGCATGCGGGCGCGGGCACTGGGGCCTTCGGTGGAGCTCCCTATGGAGCCACGAAACGTGTGAGGGGTGTGCCGAATTGGGTGTGCGTGACGCATGCGGGCGCGGGTACTGGGGCCTTCGGTGGAGCTCCTATGGGGCTACGAAACGCTGTACTGGGTGGTGAAACGCAGGGAAGAGGGGGGGTGATGATGATGATGATGATGATGATGATGATGGTGATGATGATGATGATGATGATGATGATGATGATGATGATGATGATGGTGGTGATGATGATGATGATGATGATGATGATGATGATGATGATGATGGCAGGAGGGAGGGGGCAGCGGGAGGAGGAGGAGGGAACGCGGGGCACCGTCTCTTCAAAACGAGGACCCAACACCACAGGATGGTTGGGAATAACAGAGGGCGACCTCGCACGATGATCCATGATGCTCCTCGATGGTTCCCGCCGAGAAAAGTGCATGCGTCCGAGCGATGCCAAGCAACTCGGCAAATGTGGGAACCTACAAGGTACCGACACCGCTACTCCCCGGACCTCTCCCGGGGTGCGTCTTGACGAAAACTTCGAGGCGAATCCAGCGGTGGCGACGAGGGCAACACAGGAGGCCCAACAAGGGGAAAACGAGGGAAGTGTAGCGGTATGGGTACGTTTTCCTCCTCCGAAATTGGTCGCAGAGGGCGACCTCCCGCAGCCGCGCGCCCGCCTCCGCCAGCGCCGAGAGCACCGCCCCCGCCGGGGCGCCGCGCGCCTCTGGCAGCAGCGCCAACTCCCGCTCCGCCAGCGCCGCAGCCGCCGGGGCTGCCCGCGCGCCCGCCTCTCGAGGTAGGAGATCGGCTACAGAGGAGATCCTCCTCCTCCTCCCTCCTCCTCCTCCTCCTCCTCCTCCTCCTCCTCCTCCTCCTCCTCCTCCTCCTCCTCCCTTCTCCTCCCTTCTCCTCCCTCCTCCTCCCTCCTCCTCCTCCTCCTGCCCCTCCCCCTCCCTCCCCTCCTCCCCCACCTCTTCGGTCCGTCTCTCCGGATCGAGGATCGCGACGGCTTACGCGGGCCGCCGGCGTGGCACGCTGCATGGGAGGCCAGAGCGCTCACGCGCGACCGCACGCGGGCAACTCCCTCCTCCTCCCTCCTCCTCCCTCCTCCTCCTCCTCCTGCCCCTCCCCCTCCCTCCCCTCCTCCCCCACCTCTTCGGTCCGTCTCTCCGGATCGAGGATCGCGACGGCTTACGCGGGCCGCCGGCGTGGCACGCTGCATGGGAGGCCAGAGCGCTCACGCGCGACCGCACGCGGGCAACTCACGCGCGAATGTCGGCGCAGGTGACCCCGTTTATTATGCGCCAGGTTATGTAGGAAGACAAGTAGGAAGGTGGATAGTATAGATCGTGTTCAGGCCCTCTCAGAGACTGACAAAACACATCAACACCATGCCGAATCTTGACGTGGGATGGCGCTAAGGGTAGTTTGGGATCTGGTTGTCCAGAAACACCTGCTTCCAACGACCGGCGTGCAGGGGATCGACTCCAGGATTGATCTGCTCCAAGATTGCTTTTTCGTCGAACCTACGAACAAGTACGTACAGCCACAACGTGTCTGAAGGACGGCTGGTGAGGACGCAGGACCCTTGGAGGACGAAGTTGGACTTCGTTGGGGCGGCGGGCGCCCAGTGCAAACGGAAAAGGACGGGCCACAGAGGCAAGGACACAAGGGTGCCCCAGCTGAAGGCGCGCGTCCTTACTCGGCGCGTTGACTGTGCAGGACTGAGTTGCCCCCAGATGGCTTTCTTTTCGCCGAATCCACGAAAAGTGCGTAGGATGTTCGAAGATCTACGTGACCTCCTGTGCGTGTTGCACGGATTCGGCGGAAAACGACCAGTTTTGGGCGAATCGATTCTGTAGTCGATCTCCTGCTCGAGCCTTGAGCGCGGCGCGCAGGGGCTCCACGAAGTCGCCGGGGGTGCCCCGCTCTTCGGCGGCTCAAAGATGGGGCCCTCGGGGATCCCCTGGGATCTGGGCGCTGCATTTTGTCGCAACGTGCGTTTTCGGTGTTTTTGCGGGCCCCAGGGACCCTCACAGATCGGTCCGTCTCGAAAAATGAAGCAGAACGATGGGGTCTAGGGCTGCAGTCGCGTTTTATTGCGATGTTGCAGAGTGTTTAACAACGTGGGATCTCAAGGTCTCTGAAATGTGGGCAGTCCTTTTCTCTTCACAACGGACGTTTTCGCCGGGCGATGGGCCCTTGGGCCACCACAGATTGATCCGGCCAACGTTCTCAGAACGGACGTTTTCGCCTGGTCTCGGGCCCCAGGATCCTCACAACTCGATCTGGCTCGAAAGCGGGTGAGAATTATAGGATTTACGGCTCCGTTCGCGATTTTGCGCGAAGTTGGAATTGTTAGGCGGTGTCAGATCTCGGGGATGCGGCCCTAACGATAGGAAGGGGTTCCCAAGCTGAACCTTCAATGTTTCAGGCCACTCGCCCTCAGTGCCCCGCCCCTCGGGGCCCCATCTTTGAACAGCCGATCTTCGGGTCCAGCATGGGCGCCATGGCGCGCAGCAGCGCTGGGCAGGCGGCGTCCTGGACATCCGCCGATCTGAGATTTTCAACGCGCGGCCCCAGAGGTCCCGACCCTTTCCCGGGGCAGCTTTTCGCCCTGGATCCATTTCTTCATGTTAGTCCCAGGGCCCCTCCGAACAGACCCCGCTGGCCGCACCGGGCAAAAATCCCGCATCGAAAAAATCGTTTCGTCGGAGATCTTGGGTCCCAGTCGAGCGGAAGCGTCAGCAGCGCGGCCAGCAGTGCCGGCGTGAGCGCCCTCGGCTCCGCCGCCCCCAGCCTCTCCTCCGGAGGAGGGGGGAGGGGCACAAACGTAAACTGCTGGAGGTCCGCGCGCAGCTGTTGGATCTGCACCGGTGCCCCCTTCATGGCGCGCGGAGCGCCCCAGGCGGCTCCAGCCCAGATACCACCGGGGAAGCGGCCCATGCCGCCAAACGACGCGCCATGGGAGTTTTTCAGGCGCCTGAGCCGACAATTTTTGCGGCGGCAACCGCGTTGCCAAAACGCCCCGCTGCGGGGGTCGCTCGGCCGTCCGCGCCAGAGCGCCCAGCTCCGCCGGGGAGAAAAACGCTGTGGCAAGAACTCCGCGCGGCGCTCCGAGAGTTTAGGCTTGTGCTGTTCATGTTCTTCTCCGCTCTCCAGCACCATCGTCCGCAGCCGCGCGTCCGCGGCCGCCACGGCCCTGGCGGCCTCCTCCTCCGCCTCTGCCTCGGCGGCGACGCTGGGCGCCGCCAGGCCCGCGGCGGCGGCGGCGGCCCCGCACACCGCCCCGTGCAGCGAGACCACCTCGCCGAGTGCGGCCTGCGACTGCTCCGCAGTCTCGCAGGAGGCCGGGAGCCGCGAGCAGAGCCGCGCGCGCGCCGCGCGCAGGTCCCTCCGGTCCGCAGGGCTGCAGTCCGGGGGCGGGGCGCCCGCGAGCGCCCGCAACGCCTCGCAGCATCGCTGAGCCGATCCCTTCAGCCACGACTCGCAGTAAGAAGGCACCAAGCAATCGAACATGCGATCAATGAAATCATCGTTGGAGATATCTTGGCCAACTTCCCGGAGGTCTCCTCACACAAACCCGGGCCAACGTCTGCTGTGATCGCTGGAAGGGCGAATATGTTCAGGAAACCGGGCCAGCTTTCTGGCGTGTTGGCTAAGAAAAGCTGGCCCGGCTTTTCGGGAGGAGGCCTCTTAATCGGATCCCCGACTGTTCGGATGCAAGGGTGACCAAGGTTGGCCCGGGATGAAGAAAGTGGCCAAGGATGGGCAGAAGGGGAGGGTGCAAGGGTAATCTTGGAAAATCGTTCATCCTTACTATCAGCGTCGACTGTATCTCCCCGCTGGCGCGGCCTTGGCCCCGCTGGCCGACTCGCCCTGAGCGCCCAAGTGGGGGCAAATGCTGCCCCACCCGGGGGGGGGGGGACGGCGGGGGGAGGCTGTCTTTGCTGAGGAACCACGGCCCGTTGGGAATGGGGATCGGGTGAGCAAAAGCAATGCCAATACCACGCCGCCATGGGAACTCGCCGACGTGCCACTTACTGCTCACGAGCAGCCGGGGCTTCGGACAAACACGAGGGAGCAACATGCTGACGGGCTCTCCACGGCGGCGTGCCATTGAAAATCCTCTTCCCTCCCGCGGGATCGGTCAGATGGTGCTGAGCCTCTGCAACGACCTCGGGGGTCATCTCGCAGAGCTCCTCCCCCGCGCACAGCACAGCCCTCGCCACATCGTCGGGCCGGCGCGACCTGCGCAGGCGGTTCGTGAGCTGCTCCGCCTTCGGGCGCACGCGCACCCGTGCGTGCTTGCGGTCGAAGTCCCAATAGTCCTGGTCTTAGTGGACCTTGGAAACGGCCAGGCCATTACTCTTCACCGTTTGCAACAACCCGGCTCTGGAATGTGCAAGCGGTGCAGTCGGACTTGATTGGAGAGGACACGCGAGAGGACACAAGGCCCTTCCGAAGGCCACATCGCCGTAGGAGTGTAAGAAGGCACGTGTCGCGAGACACAGAACACAAGGGTACCCTTGACTTAGCAGGGTCGACCTGCTAATCCGGGCCGACTGTAAATCTAAACGGCTCGCTGGAACGGAGACAGCCCTTCACCGACATCGGCAACGGGACCGAACACAAAACGGCGACGGAACCAGAAAACAAACGGCGACGGAACCGAACATGTAGGAAACACTGGGCTAGCGAAAAAGTAGCAGAGGCAGCCCTGCCGCTTTCAAGGTCCACTGAGCTCCTGATGGCCCTCGAAATACACGTCGAACTCCTTGTTGTTCCAGACCGGGCAGCCCATGTTGTTCTGGAAGTACATGCGGACGGCGAGGTCGGCGCGGAGGTCGCTGAGCTTGGTGTACCCCCCGCTGCCCTGGCTCTCGCAGGGCGGGGTCAGCACCTCGTCCATGGTCATGAGCTTGTGTATGGAGCCGTAGTCTGCCAGTAGGAAGTCGGTCACGTCGCCGCTGTCCTCCGGAGAGGCAGGGCGGGGCATAAAGGAGAAGGAGTGGGAGGACGAGGAGGCGAAATCAGGAAACGGGAAGCATGAGGATGCCGAGGGTTAACGCCACGGAGAGGCTCAGTCTGCCGCGCCCTGTGTACCCAGGAGCAGGCGCGACTTGGGGGCGGGCTGTAGGCTGTAGACGCCAGTGGGCTTGGCGGGATCCAGAGTGTGGGCTACGTGCCATGTGGACATGTTGTCAGGCGTCACGATCACGGTGTGAGAAGGAGTGACAGCCGAATCGCCGAGCCGCCCTGCCCACCCATCTGATGGTTTGGCGAAGAAGAGGTTAGGTACTTCAGGCGTTTGTCGATGTTGTCCCTCACCAGACAGGTAAGGAACGTTTGATTTTAGGAACAGACCTCCCGACCCGCCCAACATGCAACCGCGGCCGCCAGATACCCATGTCCACCGACCGCGGCTGCAACGCGACCGATTAGTGGCGCCGTGTCGAACGACGTATGATTGGCCACAGGACAAGAAACAGGCGCTGCAACGACCGATTAGACGACATGTCGCACATGACAGGCGTCTCGACGTCGCGCCGCCCCTTCGAAAGCAAAACAGAACGTACCAGATGTTCGTTTAACCGAATCGAACATAACTGAAGGTCACATAATATAATACAACATAGATCAAATAATGTTGCCGTCCTAACTATCATGCGCGACAGGCACGCCGAACCCACGATGGCCTCAACAACGAACAACAGAAACAACGACCGGTTAGACGACATATCAGACGTGGCAAGCGTCATGACGTCACGCCGGCCTGACAGAACATGACATTACCTAATGTTCTGCACTACGCTGGGGCAGAATCCAAGCGAACACAATATAGCACAATATCATACAGCAGCCACGAATTCACGCCGTCTCATGTAATGAAAATATCAACATAATCGGCCGTACCATAAATATAATGAAACGCGACGTGCCCGCCGAGGTCAGGCTGGGCACAGAAACAATGGGGCGCAACAACGATCGAGTGAACGATGTATAAAACGTGACAGGCGTCACGACGTCACGCCAGCCAAGTGAGAACACAACATAACATAATACAGTACACCATACGGACACATGATGGACTGAATATACATCGTTAAATGCTGTAGCAACAACGACCGATTAGTGGCACCCGGCCAAAGGCAGAGTCCACGCCGACGCAAAGATGACCACAAGACAAAAATAGGTGGACCAACGACCGGTTTGATGACACATCAGACGTGACAAGCGTCACTGACGTCATCGCAACGACCGCTCAGACAAGGTAGCAACGACCCGGCCCGGCCCCCGCGCTGGCCGAGACTATCAGTCCCTTCATGCAGTGTTCCAGTAATTAGGCGCGCGCACCGTCGAAAACAAACGCCGAACATTTCGCTGGGGATCGCACGAAGCAAAATATGTTTGTCGCGAGGTGCGCTGGACAGACGGTCGAACTGCACGCACCCGTTAGACGACAGATATCCTGGAAACGGCTCGGACCCAGGGTTCTCTTTTACAAATGTTCAACTGTCCGCACTGCGAAGTTCGATGAGGGCCGGCGGATGTTTCCGGATAAAGAATGAAGTCGAAGAGGGCCGGCTGATTAAACTGTGACGATGGCCAAAACGAAACGCTGACTTTTGCAACTCCGATCGATAAAACACAGGGTAAGGTGAACAGTGTCGTTCGTTGCGGATGTGTCAAGCGAAACGCTCCTTTTGCAGAATGTGTGGAGGATGTCTCGGGCGAAATGCTTGATTTGTTCTACACATGGGTTCTCAACGCCCCAGGGCGGGCGGGACAAGCGTGAAATCACTTGGGCCCATTTCGCGCCAACGGGACAAAAGTGAAAACACTTGGGTTCCTAGCGTCCCAGATTGAAACAAGCGTGTTTACACATGGGTGCCTAATGCCCCAGAGCGGGACAAGGAGGGGGAGGAAAGGGGGGAAAAGGGGGGGGAGAGGGGAGGAAGGAGGGGGAGAAGGGTGGGAACGGGACAGGGGGTGGGAAGAAAGATGGGGGGAGGGAAAGGGGTGGCGATAGGAGGGGTGAGGGTGAGAGGGGAGACAGCTAACAAGATGCGCTCGCGCCACATCTGACTTCGTACGGTCGGGAACTTCAGCACAGCGTGTCGCGGCGGAAGCCCCGGCGACACGCCATGCCCTGCAAGTGGATGGCGGGGCTGGAGGCTGGGAAGGGCTCGGGACGTGGACGTTTTGGGACTTGGAGACGTGGATGGCATGTCGCGCCGAAGCGTGGTGGGCCAGAACCGGCGGAGCGACACGCGGAGCCAAAGCTCCTGACCCTAAGCTAGGGCTCCCAACTTCGCGCTTCGCGCTCCGCGAAGCGCGAAGCGCGAATAACTTCGCGCTCTCGCGCCGCCCCCCCCAAAGGGAGAAAAGGAGGACGAGGAGGAGGGGGAGGAGAAACGAGGACCGCGAAGCGCGAAGCGCGAATAACTTCGCGCCCTCGGGGGAGCCCTTGCTAAGCACGCTCGCTCCATATCTGCACCCATGCCACGCATCCCTTCCTACCGCGCTGATTTGGTTAAGCATCCGCGGGCTCGTGTCAGAGCGGACCCCCGGAACCCAAGAAGGAACCCACCGTGTTATGCACGATCGGAAAAGCTGAGCCGTGTACATCGGAGGGAAGGGAGGAGGAGTTGGCCAATGAGCAGGACCAGCAGGAGGATGATGAAGGAGGATGATGAGAACGAACAGAAACAGCGGGGAAGAGAAAGAAAGAGAGGGTCGAAACGAGTGCTTGCACCATCGTGTGCTTGTCCACTGAAGTTCGGCAATACGACGCAGGCGCTGTAATGAGGGCCGAGGGAGGCTGCGCGGTGTCGGCGAAGCTGAACGGGGTAAACGTGCGCTTGGCTAACACACGTCCTGAGGTTCATCAGGTTCATCAAGAGAGCGAGAGAGAGAGAGAGAGAGATAGAGAGAAAAAAAAGGAGGGAGAGGCGCACGAGGAGAGAGAGAGAGAGAGAGAGATAACAAACAACAAAAACAAACCAACAAAACACAAGGGACAAGGGCCGGAGAGGTGAGGGGGGGAGGGAGAAGAAGAGGAGCAGACAGAGCTCGAAGCTGGAGGCAAGCGTGGGAGCTCTCTCCTCGCTCACCGTGCCTGTCATGTGGATGGTGTCCGGGGGCCGGAACGCCAGGTAATGCCCCGGCCAGAAGGCCCCCTCGAAGCGGAAGGCGCCTGGCGGGCCAGCGCGCGAGCGAGCGGCGGGGCACGCAGGCGGGCGGGAGGGGGCGAGGCGAGGGAGGGGGAGGAGCAGGAGGAGAAGGAGGAGGAGGGGGAGGAGGAGGAGGGGGAGGAGGAGGAGGAGGAGGAGGAGGAGGAGGAGGAGAAGGAGGGGGAGGAGGAGAAGGAAGATTAGGAGGGGCACAGATCTCCGACGATGTGTTTCTGTTCGGCCCGTGGACTCTTCCTCGACGTCGGACTCTGGGGCATGCTGTCGGGCCCGGGGACAAGCAAGCATGCACCAGGGCAGGGGTCGGGAGCTCTGGGGCCACCGGCTGAACAGATCCTGTCGGGTGATCTCTCGGGGGGGAGAGCGCGGGGGGGAGTGGGCGGCAGGGAGCGCCGAAGATTGAGGAGGGGGTGGGGCGGTGCCTGGGTGCGGGAGGATGGGGGGGGGAGGGCGGGCGGAGCAAACGGATAGGTAGAGAACGGGGTGCGGGAAGATTGAGAGATGACTGGAGACGGACTCGAGCACGAGGGCGATGAGGAGCAGGGCGGGGTGGTCGGGGGAGGGGGGCGGGCGAGCAGGGCGAATCGTGCCCTCTTCCTCCTCTCGCCCTCCTGCGGCTACTCCCGTTCCTTGTCCTTCTCCTAGTCTTGCTGGTTTTTCTCCCCCTCCCCACCCCTCTCTCGCTTTCATCCCAATTTCTTATGCAGAACTCCTCCATGTAGCACCACCAGACGTGTCGGCAGGTTGGGCCAGACGTTTCGCAAGAGACATCTTCGCCATCTGCGATCCTGAAGCTAAGAAGTTGCAACACTTTCACGGATGGAGGTCGGGTGGATTTCAACATGTGGCTGTCACGTTAGCACCGCGCACATCCCCTCTTCAACCTTGCACACAGCGTAAAGAAGGGCGAGTAATCATCAACATGTGGCTGTCGCGTTAGCGCCGCGCATATTCTTTCAAATCGCTGCAACAGCTCACCAGAAAGGAGGGCGACTGGTTTTCAAATGCGGTGGTCGACTTAACGCCACGCACAATCGTCTTAAAACTTGGCAGCAGCTTCACGGATGGAGGGCAACCGGTTTGCAAAATGTGGCTCTGGCCTTAGCGCCGCACGCATTAGTTCTCAGAGCTTGCAGCAGCTAATCGGATGGAGGGCAAGCGGTTTTCTAAATGTGGCTCTCGCGTCAGCGCCGCGCACATCCGTCTTAACAGTGTACAGCACTTTGAATAGATCGTATGGTCGAAGTCCCAGGTCCGGTTCTAGTGTTCTGGAAACAAACAATGATATTGTCCGGACGTAGCAATCAGACTGACTCGCGGCGCAGGAGTTCCAGGAATAGTGTTCTGGTACGATTGAGATATGTCAAGGCTCAGCAGTCACGTTGATCCACGGCTTCGCAGTCGCAGGGCCAGTGTTTTGGTACGGCTGTGGATTCCCAGACGATTTGTTTCAAATTGGCCACTTCCCGCAATGAAAACCATATCTTCTAGGGGCCTATGAAGAGGGAACTTGGAGGGACGGTCTATTGCTACATCTGTTTTGCATCTTGGGTTTACGCTGGTCCTCCTCCTCGTCCTCCTCCTCCTCCTCCTCCCCTCCCCCTCCGCCACCTCATCATCCCTCATCCATCCTCACCCCCTCGCCTCCTCTCCCTCCCCAGCGGTTGGACCGCCTCCCGACGAAGATCTCTGATCTCCTCAGAAACGTCCCCCCCCCCCGATCCGTCCTGGGCTGCAGCCTGTGCCTGACCCGACCTGGGCCTTCAGAGGTTCAAGCTTGCGAGAAACCTCTTCGAACCTCGATCCTCCTCGCACACCCGTTCGCGATCTGCACCCGCCTGGGGGGAGCAGCAACATTGATGGCAGGCCGCCTTGGGAAGCCCACCAGCTTGTTGCTGTGGAAGAGATCCAATGCGAGGCCCTCGGACAGGTACGAGGGAGCAGCACGCGGCCGGGCTCCCGACGGCAGCGTGTCATTGCTGCAGCGGGCCCGAATCATGAGGATGCGCGGTGAGGATGCAAGGGCCTTGGACGCCGGCCTCGAAGCTCTTTTGAGCGGGGCGCGGTCAACGCAAGCGGCCGAGGAGGGACCGAGGAGGCAAGGATGCAAAGGTACCCTTGGGCTTTTTGGCCCCCGGAAACGGCAGGGCCTTCACCGTTTCCAAAAAAATGTCCCTTGAAAATGGAAACGGCAAAAAAACGGCGACCGGAAACGGCAAAAAACTGCTCCAGGATTGGAACCGGAGCCGGAACCGGTCAAACAACGGCGACGGAACCGGTGAAAAAACAGCGTTGGAACCAGCAAAAAAACGGCAGAACGGAACCGGTAAAAAAATGGCCCTGTCGTTTCCAGGACCCACTAAGCCTTGGACGCCGGCTTTGAAGCTCTTTTTAGCGGGGTGCGGTCAACGAAAGCGGCCGAGGAGGGACCGAGGAGGCAAGGATGCAAGGGTACTCCAGATTTCGTAATAAAAGGAGGGGGGTCTCATTTCGGGGGGGGTCTCTTCCAGGCTATCTTGGGGTACCCGTGGGAAGGTTGCCTATCCTCAATATGTGGGTTGACTGAGCTCTTCTCCCTCCCGAGCCGGACCCTTCCCACGGCCTGTCCTGCCAAGGTTGCCGAGCTGCGTTGGGCCCGAAGCTCCATATCGAACGACGGAACGTAAACGTTGTCGTCCTCCCCGACCGTCCGACGATGTTTTTTTCTGGAGAAGGAGGAGGGAAGCTGAGGGGACGATGCGGACAGAACGGATGTGATGAGTGTGATGATTGTCAACCCGCAGCGCACGGAAAAACCAGAACGCCTGCCTGGGGGGCGATTTCCACCCCAGACCTAGATCTGATGGCCCAGGGGCCAGGGGCCACAAAGCGACCCCCGAAGGCCGAATCGAGGAACGACGCCGCGATGAAAAAAAAGCCATTCGGATGTCGTCGTCGTCGTCGCCGCACCTGCCTGGGTAGAAGGGGCTGGCGACGGTCACCAGGTTGGCGTACCTCTGCATGCGGGGGGCGGGTCCTCAGGGTAACGGTCCCTGGACCCCCAGGGGGGGGGCCTCCTCCCCCCCAGGATCAGCTCTTCACCCCGAGGCGTTCTCTGACGGCCCGGGGGGGGGCCCGCGGAGGGCCCCGGAAGCCCGAAGACGGCGCAGAGCTCGAGAACCCGCTTCCACGCATCCGACGATGCGATGGCCTGAAAGTTCGAACAAGAGAAGCAAACACGGCATGAACAGAAACTTGTGGCGTTCCGCTCGGATGTCTTGGACCCGCGCGGATGGCCAAAAGTTAACGCTTCTGCCGTTATTGTTCTCCTTGGATTCATGTTTCGGAGGTCCCGCCCCCTTCCCGGCGGTAGTCTTGCGTCCCGAGTTCACTTTTCCACCATCTCCTAATGATAAGGTTATTGTTATTACTTAGACCGCGCGGAACGAGAACACCTCCCACCCTCAGGTCATCATTCTCTGACTCACTCACATGTAGACTCACACAGATTCAGACTCAGTCATATTCAGATGCACTCGCTTTTAGATTCCTGGTCCTCAGATTTCTCACGCTCGGGATCACTCGTACGCAAACTCACTCACACTCCTGGTACTTCCGCGCTCAGACACACACACACACACACACACAAAGACGTTGTGAGGATGTCCCAGGCGCGGGGCTGGTTTCAGTACTCCCAAGGGGGGGCGCCAGGTGGTATATCACAGGCCCGTTCGCGCCCAGATCGGGGAGATGTATCAGGCGGTTTGCCTGTTTGGGTGGTCAACATCCTTCTCTTCCGGAGCAGTGTCCGAGGATGTCTCAGGCGAGGCGCTGGTTTCAATTCTCCCAAGGGGGGGGCGCCAGGGGGTATATCACGGGCCCGTTCGCTCCCAGATTGGGGGGATGTCTCAGGCGGTTTGCCTGCTTGGGTGCTTAACATCCTTTCTCTTTCGGAGCAGTTCCCGAGGATGTTTCAGGCGAGGCGCTGGTTTCAATTCTCCCAAGGAGGAGCGCCAGGGAGTATCTCACGGGCCCGTTCGCGCCCAGATCGGGAGGATGTCTCAGGCGGTTTGCCTGTTTGGGTGCTCAACATCCTTCTCTTTCGGAGCAGTTCCCGAGGATGTCTCAGGCGAGGCGCTGGTTTCAATTCTCCCAAGGGGGGGCGCCAGGGGGTATCACGGGCCCGTTCGCTTCCAGATTGGGGGGATGTCTCAGGCGGTTTGCCTGTTTGGGTGCTCAACATCCTTCTATCTCGGAGCAGTTCCCGAGGATGTCTCAGGCAAGGCGCTGGTTCCAGTACTCCCAAGTGGGGGGCGCCAGGGGGTGTATCACAGGCCCGCTCGCGCCCAGATTGGGGGGATGTCTCAGGCGGTTTGCCTGTTGGGGTGCTCAACATCCTTCTCTCTTCCGGAGCAGTTCCCGAGGATGTCTCAGGCGAGGCGCTGGTTTCAATTCTCCCAAGGGGGGGCGCCAGGGAGTATCTCACGGGCCCGTTCGCGCCCAGATCGGGGAGATGTCTCAGGCGGTTTGCCTGTCTGGGTGCTCAACATCCTTCTCTTTCGGAGCAGTTCCCGAGGATGTCTCAAGCGAGGCGCTGGTTTCAATTCTCCCAAGGGGGTCGCCAGGGAGTATCTCACGGGCCCGTTCGCGCCCACATCGGGGGGGATGTCTCAGGCGGTTTGCCTGTTGGGGTGCTCAACATCCTTCTCTTTCGGAGCAGTTCCCGAGGATGTCTCAGGCGAGGCGCTGGTTTCAATTCTCCCAAGGGGGGGCGCCAGGGAGTATCTCACGGGCCCGTTCGCGCCCAGATTGCGGGGATGTCTCAGGCGGTTTGCCCGTTGGGGTGCTCAACATCCTTCTCTTT